GTATCCAATGCTTGGAATAAGAATATCTTCCAATGCCGCGTTATCCAGCTGGGACCCAATCCTCTTCTCGAGTATATCCCGGCAAGATGGGTCTGCCCCTAGGATCATGGATATCCTCAAGAGCTTAAGAAGAAACTTGGTTGGGATTATTCCCTTTTGATCAGGGAGTAACCCTACAATCTCTTCTAGAAGAGTCACCTGTTCGTGTTCGGACGAAACAGGCATGTTTACGGATGCCCTGCCATCTAATGGAAGGTACCTTTTTGCATAGCACATTATAGAGCCAGCAATTCTCTTTGGATCCATACCTTTTGAAGTTACAGCAAAGATTAGCCTCTTATACATATGCAATTTAAGTCCTGAGACATCCTTATACCACCAATCATCACTAAGATCACGCTCGTTAGATGGTATGGAGACCGAACCTAACCCGTTCCAGGAAGTAGCATCAGGCAGGGTCCCCGTAGGACTATTGTGACGAGTTAACGATCTTGGTTCGGCGCAAGCTTTCATAGCCAATGATTCAATGCATCTTGAGACAAGGTGGATCTCATCTGCAATGTGAAAAACCCCTTCACAGTCTTCAACGGCTCTGAGTGAGTCATCCCATGAACCGAAAACTTCTATCAGGAAGTTTTCAGTCTGGAAGATGAGGTTTCCTTCTCCATAATCTTCTCCCATTTGGAGATACTCGGCTGCACATCTAAGAGTGACCACGTTCATGGCTGTGAGTTCAGTCTTGATATCGTAACAGAACTTTGCCACAAATAGAAACGCTTTTGCTCCCCCAGGTATGTCATGAAGATGCACAACATGTCTCTTGCCATATTTGGGTGAATCTCGGGGGATCAGATTCTCTAATAACATGCTCCTTGACAACAGCGGGAACTGCAAGATGTTCAAGGTTTCAGGAGACTAGTAAATATTAATTAACAAATAAAAACTGGTTTATTTAGTAAATTTATCTGTCTCACCATGTGAAGATGGAAGGAAGTTTCTCCAACCTCAACCGTGACATCACTAGGAAGACCTGTTGAAGTGTACCTGTATTTGTTATTACAATCCCTTCATCAGCAAGCCCGGAATTTGATCAATAAGAGGTTATCAATACTTCAAGTCATGTAGCACTTGATTGGTTCGGGGATTTTGGATGGGAGTTTTAAGGATTATTTTTATTTTTAAAATCATTTATACATTGAGGTAGTCAGAAATGAAATGAAGATAATTACGTAGTACATGATCTAATATAACTAATCATATAATTTTTCTAGTGTAAACCTAACAAATAGAGATATACTCCTAACTCCCCCCTCCCCTCCCCTCTAAAATCCCTGAACCAAACAAGTTGATTTCATTTTTTTTGTAATCACATTTTCTGTTTTTCCGGGAGTATTCATCAATCAAATAGCATTTCAAATCCAGTAACCATAATCTTGCCCCAGACAATAACACACCCCTATTATCTAGACATTAAGCTTCTACTTTAGCTAATCGCCACTAAATATAACCAATCTCACCTTCATTTACTGATCTGTCCCAAAAAAAATGCTTAAACTATTAAACTAACTAGATAACTACGGAGTATTATTCATACTAATTTTATCTCCATAGTCCTAACGTTCTGAAAAATGAATAATCAGGCGAAATTAAATCCTGAAAACATTGCTCAATCATTACAAAGCTGAAAACATCATAATGATTAAGAAAAAAAGATTCAAAAAACGATGCCTAACTAACCATTCTTGGCCGTCCAGGTGAAACAAATCGGATTTGGATCCTAACTTCTTGCATGCCATTTTCTATATGTATATCTCCAGTTCCCAGAGTTTCTTCTGATTAGTATGTTATGGATGGGGATTGGGGAGCTCAGACATAGAAGAAATTAGAACATCTATAAAGTGATACTGATTACTATAACCTTTATATATATGAATACGAGAGGCCTGGAAATGGGGGAGTATAGTAATTTTAGCTGTGAAGAATGTTGAAGTTTTCTGTGGGTGGGTCGGTTTTTCTGGGAAGAGTGTAAGGAGCTAGAAAGAGGCGCGCTCCGAGTCCAAAGGAGAGAAAATCTGAGTATGCCGTTATTCGTAACTGACGACAGATCAGGAGGAAGTGTTCATGTGGCAGGACTGGGTTTTAGCTAGCAACCTTGCTACAGGTACCTCATTTTGTACCTCAATTTGTACCCCAACCTATTTGTGTGGCTCACAATAGCCCACTTCAACAAATGAATTGCTCCACTTTAATGAGTTGCTTTTGTGAGCCACAAAAATAGGGTGAGGGTACAAATTGGGGTACCTTTAACATTTTTGTTTAGCTAGTGGGCTCATCGGTTTGTGGTCCTGTCCGCCCATTTGCTAAAAAAAGCTCACTCCAGCCTAGTCTGCCTATCCAAGGTTTTAAATAGCCGTAGCGGTAGCGGTCATCGCGGTAGCGGCCTGTAGCCGACTGTAGCGGTTGCAGCGGTGTGAAATATTTTCAATTACGCAAAGCATATATTTAATGGGTGTTAAAGTTAATAAAAACATTATGAATATTTGTTTGAACACTTATAACATTAACAGCTATAATAATACATATTTGTGTTTCATTTCCAATTTCATTTGCATAATCCATAATAATATCGCTTCGGTTCAAAATTGTTTTGTTAAGTCAACATTTTTTTCGTCAACTGATATTAAAGTTAAATCATCCTTATTAATTCGGCTTTAATAATTGTAATTTACACATTTATTAATATTTCCTACCATAATGTATGTGGATAGATGTACATTTAATTTTGAGTTTCACTCCATGCATCACCATTAATGTATTTTTTCACATCATTCACACAACATTTACACATTTACACATCAAACAGTTCGTGATGAACTGCCGGAAATATCAATAGCGGGCTGTAGTGGGCTGTAGCGGTCTGTAGCGGGCGGCGTAACGGATTTTTTCCGTGATTTAGAAATCACACACGAATAACGGGCCATAGCGGTAGCGGCCCCTACCGCGACCGCTATATAGCGGCCGCTATAGCGGTAGCCGGCCGCTATTTCAAACCATGCTGCTATCTAAAGGGGTCGGCATGGCAAAGGATAACAAAAATATTACTCCCTAGTATTATTTGGCAATTGGCAACTAGTCTTTCACAAATTTATTTGGAGGGGGCCAGGGGGGAAAACATTATAGTAATAGTACCTTGGAAAAATTTTAAAAATGGGAGGGGCCATGGCCCCCTTAGCTTAACAAGTATCAATTTCAATTTCAATGTATATATTTTAATACTTCGTATTTAGATAAATTTTGTATACTATATTCTTATAATCATAGATGTAATAAGAAATTGCTCCAAAGTTCAAATAAGAGTAAACCATTAACAAAGTTCAACAATAGGACAAAGTGTATTTTATTTCCATAATAGAACTTATTTAATATTTCTATTAAACATAAACGAGTGAAAAAATTTACAAAAATATAACTAAAGTAAAATGTATTTACATAAATATGACTATTAGTTACTACAGTGGGGTGTCATAGTAACTAAAGTTTAAACATTTAACATAAACTACAATGATTTCATTACTATTCAAGTCATTAATAACATTTTTGTAAACAATCTTTATTTTAGTCATAAATATGTAATTATTTCTTTAAAAAATCTCGAGATTAATGGATCATTACATTTAACATTATGACTACTGATGTGTGCCTAATTGATAAGTCTGTATTTCAACACGTATTTGATGTGTATTGGGATTGATTTTTATTAGTTTTTCTAGTTTAAAAGCGTCACAAAATGTTTAATTAGTTCAAATCACAGTTTACCGGGATATGGTTTGTGTTTGCTGTTTTTAGATTTAAAGGTTAGGACTTTGAGCCCGCCATCGGCGGTGGAGATTAATTTGGGAAGATTTGGGATGCTTAATTTTCTAAAATCAAATCTCCAACATTCACATTTATTTTATTTATTTTAATCACTGAATTTATTTTGTACCCGATTCCCTTTTTCCGTCCATGTGGAGTATATCGTACTTTAATTTATCCTTATATTATTACATTTCTGTTAAGTGTGAGAAAACTCACATCATTAACTCAAACTAACTCATGAAATTAAACATGTGGCTATTTATCAATACTTTATGATTTATACTCTCATTTCTCAAAATTTATAAATGAATACATCATATCACAATGGACCATAGGCTGATATCTACGTGGTAGCAAAAAAAAAATATGACAATTCTCATACTATGTTCAATTAGCAACTTTGACTTTTTGATAAACAAAAATGTTTAACCAATATTATTATTTAATATTATTATTAGTGTTTCGTACAATATAATATAAACTATCATATAGACAAGGGGGAAAGTGAAAGTGAGCACTGCTAGTTTCAAAATGAGTAAAGGGTCAGTTTGGTACTCGAAGTTGCAAAAAAGGTGTCAAATAAGTCCTTATATAGAAGATTATGTCCGGATGTGCCATTTGAAGTGGCTCCCAATGGAATTTTTTGATAAATTTTTTTGAGCAAGTTATTCATTAAATCTAGTTTACTCATACCAAATTTCAGCTAAGCATTCAATCGGGAAGACATTAAAATGAATTCTTGAAGATAATTGTCTTCAAGAATTATCTTCAAGAATTCATTTGAATGTCTTCCCGATTGAATTTGTATCTGAAATTTGATATGAGTAAACTAGACTTAACGAATAAGATGCTCAAAAAATTGCATCAAAAAATTCCACCGAGAGCCACCTCAAATAGCACTTCCGGACAGAATCTTCTATATAAGGACTTATTTGACTCTTTTTTTGCAACTTTGAAGACCAAACTTACCCTTATCCCGTTTCAAAATGGAATAAATAATCATTAACCTTGATTTGCCCGAGTTAACCTCAGACCAAATAGAATGGAGAAGTGCCAAAATAATAGGAAGATGAGGTCTATGCCTCTCTGGTGTATTAATATTAACTTGATAAAAATCATGTACAAATGACATGTAGAAATCATGAAGTCCTCTCCATTCCCCAACCTCTCTCAACCGCTCTATCGTATATTGTTAATCACAGTTTTCATTTTCAAATGGGAGGAGGGGAGAAGAGAGTGGAAAGAGGATAAACATCATCGCAAAGTTTGTCATCATTAAAAGGGAAAATTCCCAGGAAGTGAAAAATTGGCATATATATGATTTCAAAAAACTAAGAAATCCTTGCAGCCACTCCGCCATTTTGATTCTCTGATTCCCTTTTCTGGGATCAGAGAATCATTATTGCCTCCTTTCACGTCTTCTTCCATCTTTATTTTGACGCCGCATGCTCATTTGGAAGACTAAAATCGACTCAACTGAAGATAAACATTTTGATATAATGAGTTTATTGTAGAGTTGGATTGAAAGAAAGCAGATAGGCTTGAGGAGGTGGATATTTGATATTCAAGACTTATAAAAATAAGGCTTTTGGGAAGTTCAAAATGGGTGTGGCTCATAACGATGATGACGGAAACATGGAGGGGTGGCTTTACCTCATTCGTTTGAATAGGCTTGGCCTCCAATATTGCCGCAAACGATATTTCATTCTTGAAGATAACTGTCTCAAAAGCTTTAAGTCAATTCCCATTACTGGACGAGAGGTATGTCTTTGTTATATATATTACACAAAGTTTTATATTTTTAATATATATTTGTGCACTATGACCTGCCCTTCCCTAGCTCTAGTGACATCATCCTCATTTTTTTTATATTTTTAACTTGTTTTTGTATATTATGACCTACCCCCATGTGACATCATCATCATCATTTATTCCTTATTAATCACAACTACACTTGTTTGCATGAACCAAATTTACAGTGTTAGTTAATTGTGTGAAATCACATAACTATTTAAATTTAAGTCAAAGAAAATGTTGAAATTTTTTGTACCAACTTAAATAGGAAATTAACGAAATTTAGTATTGAGAAATCTACATGACAAAGATATATATTTTGAAATGAAAGAAATCTTCTCAACATATTTTCAGGAGCCACTAAGAAGTGCAATCATAGACTCCTGCATTCATGTCAAAGACAATGGAAGAGAGAGCTGCAATAGAAAAGTATGTCTATAACATTTGTTGCATGTCAAAGAATCAATAATATAAAAGCATCTTTTCATCCTTCTTAAATATATCATTTCACCTTATACAGGTGTTCTTCATTTTCACCTTGTACAACACCTCTAACCATAATGATCAACTCAAGGTATGTGTGTATTCCCCCATCCTGAAAAGGTTCGTCAAATAGACTTTCTTGATCAATGATAATCAACTTTGATCAAAAATATTTTTTAATACGAAATTGTTTTGAATATGAAAATTATATCAAAATGTTTCTTATTCAAAATATTTTCTTAAAAGTATAAAATTTATAAATTATATACAAATATTTGTCAAAATCATTGTCTAAAGTTTGTCATCATTGTAAAAAAAAAATCAATATGGCGAACCTTTTCAGAACGGAGGTGGTATATTGTTTATAATGAATCCTAACTCTCACCTCGCTACTCCGGGGTAACCAGAGATTTTACGTTTTGCAGATTGGAGCTACTAGTCCGGAAGAGGCTGCTAGATGGATCTGTTGTTTAAGAGATGCTGCTTTGAATCCCGAAAAAAACTTAAGGGCACCTGCAGTAAGAAAATGGCAACCTTTCAGGTAATTAACCAACAATATCTTGCAACATTTATTAGGACCTCACGTCAAATATTAAAGAGACATGAGTTTATAAGAACTTAAGTTTGGTAAGATTAGCTATTTGATTGAAATCAATCTTATGTGGCCTGATTAAGTGACCCAGAATCAACTATTAATTCTACAGAGGAGGAATTAATTGGAAGCTAAAAAGGTCATTTACAATTTTAGCCTTTATTTACAAGCTTATGTTTTCTCCCTTTGTAACAAGATTGAGTGTCTCAAAGAGGAATGCACGAAAGAAGTCCATAGATTGGACTGATGCATCTTCTTCACATGTGGATGCAATGACATCTGATGTTATAGGTCCTTCACCATGGAAAATATTTGGATGTCAAAATGGTAAGAATTACATGTTTAATTTATCATATCAAGTAAAAACGTAAACAGAAAAAAGAGAACAGTGAATTTGTTTATACATTGTTTTTCATTCAGGTTTACGACTATTCAAAGAAGCAAAAGACAAAGATTCAAATGGGAAGGTGTGTTGATTGATCTATTCAATGTCTCATTCTCTATGTTCTGATTGCTTCATAAACGATTAAGTATTTAAGTGTACGTGTTTGTCTTCAGCATTGGGATAGTCATCCAGCTATAATGGCAGTGGGAGTAATTGATGGAACTTCTGAAGCCATTTTCAAAACTCTCATGACTCTTGGTCCCTCAAGATCAGAGTAATATATTTTATCATCTACTCAATGTCTCACTCCGTTAATAAATAGATTTAAAATATGGGGAATTGGGGATTGTCCTAGACTATTACTAACATATAAATTATTGAAAAAAATTGACATGGTCACTATATTCACTTTCAAAATATCATTGCGGTTACTACAGTATAAAACTTAACATCACCATTGCCATTGGATCCCTTGCATATATGGTCGTCGCATTTTGGCTCTTTATTTCTATTTTAATTATGTACTAGTATTTGTTATTGTTTTCTAAAACTCAGGGATAAAAGAGTCCAGAAGACTAAGATGCCTTACATTTATATATTTATCACCCTTCATGAAATTGGAAGAAGTATCTTATAGTGAGATCAATATAATGGTTTTGCAGATGGGACTTCTGCTTCTACAGGGGGAGTGTGGTTGAACACCTAGATGGACACACAGATATTGTTCACATGCAACTATACAATCATTGGATGCCATGGTTAAGACTTTTACACAATACAAACATAATCAATTCAACATATGATCTATTGTTTTGCTTCAATGACTATTTTATTTGCAGGGGGCTTAAACGAAGAGATCTATTGTTGCGGCGTTATTGGAGAAGAGAGGAGGATGGCACATATGGTAATGTAATTCACATTTTTTTTACAAAAGTGGATTTATAAGAATGATTTGGTAAAATGCTTCTTAAGTAATGACTAATCTCAGGTGTTTGATGCAGTAATTCTTTATCATTCTGTTGTCCACAACAAATGTCCGCCACAAGAAGGATATGTTCGCGCCACTGTTAAAAGTAATGTATGCCTAAATATGTGTCAGTGTCTTCTTAATAACCAATGTAGTATAAGAAGTAATATTTTGTTTTCTATGGGGGGATTCAAAACAAATAGGTGGTGGCCATGTTATAGTTCCTTCAAATCAAGGCAAATCAAGTATTGTAAAACACATGCTCTCTGTTGATTGGAAGTTTTGGAAGTCATATCTTAGAAAAGAAACTTCTAGATCCATAACTATATGCATGCTTGGGAGAATTGCAGGTAACTGTTCACTGACATAATTCTGTAAGAGAGGGCTAATTTTTCATAAAATCTTCTGTCGAAGTAACAATTCCAATAGGTTTAAAGCTAGATTATGTATGGCAGCATTGAGAGAGATGTTTAAAGCTCAACCAGGAAGTTACTCCTATGACATTTCATCTGGAGAGCTAACAATATATATTCAATTACCTCTTACTGATAAGGAGAAGAGAACAAAAGAAGTTTCTCCAGAAAGGATTGAAAAAGAAATTGAGAAACAACCATCAGGCCGCTCGAGCCTAGTCGGGTTGAATGATGTGGGAGATGAGTTTTTCGATGTTCCCGAACCATCCGACGACGAACAGTCAGATCACGGATGGTCTTCTAGTTCTAGTCCAGATTATCACTCGGTAATCGCTTCTCTACGCTGTTCAAACAAACTTCGTTTAATCTTCTGATCTATTCATTCTGTTCTTATCCTATTCTTCATTCAACTCTCTCATCAGGATACATGTCCACAGAAATCATCATCTGCTGCAAATTTTGTCAAAAAATTGCAGGATCTAGCAGGTTTGTGACCATTGATGTAAATATAGATAGACTGCCTTACATGGATTCCATGAATGGCCTGTGTCAAACGCAAAATTAATTCAAAATTTCAGTTCAGAAGAAAGGTTATGTTGAATTGCAAGAAATAGCCTGGGAAGAGGGCGAGTCGGGCTGTTATGGATCCACTCTTCCTAAAGATGCAAGTTACAGTATGGCCTGCAGCTGGGCTGCTGCTGATACCTCCTCATTTTTGATCCGAGGAGAGAACTATCTGGAAGACCATCAAAAGGTCGTTCTCTCTTCATCATGTCTTATCTAGCATGACATAATAAATGCTTCTTTTGCTGTTTTCTTCTTCAAAAATGTCTTCTTAGTGGAGGGTTGTGGAGGGAAATGTAGGTGATGGTTTACTTTTTAAATTAAAACCAGTACTTTTAATGTGATAATTTTTTTCTAGTAAAAGGGAGGTATTCCATTATTCCATAGTTCTGTATTTAACAGTACATTGCTCTTTCTCAAGAGTTTCAAAATCAAGCAATTATTATTACAAAAAACATTATGCATTTGATGTTATCTTAGTGAATCATGCTCTAAATAATTTCAACCACCATTTTCATTTTTAAGGAGAGAGGGAACATAAAATGATAAACATTTTATTAAAATACAATGTCAACCCCTAATTGGAAAAATAACTTTGATCTTTTCTTCACATTCAACCCCTAAAATCTAACTCTAGCATATATTTGGAACAAGCTCATAGGACTAAATTTACTAGTATGATGTTATTTGATTTATTTAAAATTAGTTTGATTTGGTCTAATTTCTAATTCTTATTATTTCTCACTTCTTTTCTCAAATCTCAACTGTTTTTAGTGTTGTTATCACTTTTTTTGGAAACCAGAAAATCTTTCTTTTTTTAAAGGATCAAATTATCAATCAAAATATTTGCTATTTTGCAGCTAAGTTCCCGAACATTACAAGTAATTACTCAACTCATTCAAAAAAGAGCAATTGACTTCTCTTTTACAGCTCAACTTTCTTCTTCAATAAGTAGATATGAGTGATGTATTTGTAAGGTTACCAATATAAAGTTTCAGTTGTAGAATAGCTAATAGTGTGAGAGGTATTTGTCATTTTTCTCTTTTGTTTTTCATGTGATGTGAAGCTTATCATTTCTAATTGCTTTTTTGTTCTTGTTTTATTTTCAGGTCACAGCGAAGGGCACATTGGCGCATATGATTGGTGCAGATTGGCTACAATCTGATATTCGCGAAGATGATCTTGCAGGTCGCCCCGGAAGCATCATACAAGTATTTACCCTAGTCATACATCTTTTCATAACTATACATTTTGGCAGATTCATTTTAATTGACTTGAAGACGAAAATATGAGATATGTTTCTAACACAGAAGTTTTGCATGATTTATAGAAATATGCCGCCCTGGATCGACCAGAATTCTTCTTTGTGATCAACATTCAGGTAAATTTTGTTTCAAGTGTAACAATTTAGTTTCACTATCTGATCAAACTCATTTTATTTGTTTATTTTTTATGTAAAGACAGAAATATCAGTTTATATAATGGTTTTTCTTTCCAAATATTTATACATTATTTCTATTTGTTATGGATAATAATATGACTATTTCAATTCATTTTCCAAAAAAAAACTCAAATTGTAAGTTTATGCCCACCTTTTTTGGCCCCCCCATCAACTTCCCATTTGTGCCTAAATTTTATCTGAAATATCTGCCAAAAATAATTGTGACAATTTCTCTCTTGTCATGTAATGTGGTGTCACTATTAGTAAAATAAAAATGACATATTTATTCTATTTCATAACAATACTAAAAAAAACAAATGTATTTTTCGTTAACTTTTCCTTTAGTACAGAGTAATATTTATATCAAAGTCTCTTGTAATAAAATGACTTCGTGATCATTTTTTGCTTTTCCTAGCATTTTCCTGCATTCATAAATACCCTTAAGTAGAGAGTAGCATGAGTTGGGACTTGGGAGTGTATACTAATGAAAGTTTTATATGGAATCTAATTAGATTCCAGGAACAACAACATATAACCTTGCCCTATATTATATGCTGAAAACACCTCTAAAAGAGAATCCTTTACTCGAGCGCTTTGTCAATGGAGATGATGCTTTTAGGAATTCAAGATTCAAGCTCATTCCATACATCTCTAAGGTTAGCCATCATTTTCAACAAATGTAATAGTAGTCTGATCATTCATTCCACTGATATCCATTTTTGATATTCATATAACCTAATTACTGGCTATGTTTCTCTAGGGATCATGGATAGTGAAACAGAGTGTGGGTAAGAAGTCGTGTTTGATTGGTCAAGCGCTTGATGTGCATCATTGCCGTGGCAAGAACTACTTGGAGGTAATTGCATTTATATATGCTCTTTTTATCAAATTATATTTATTTTCTTTGTTTGATTAACCGTTTAAGAAGATGATTTTCGTCGTGTGATGACTTGACATTCTTATCAATAATAAGGTTTCCTAATTAACACAAAAATGTTTTTTGGTTCTTAGCTTGATGTTGATGTTGGATCTTCCACAGTTGCAAGAGGTGTTGTCAATCTTGTTTTAGGTTATTTGAACAACCTTGTAATAGAAATGGCCTTCTTAGTACAGGTAATTTAACCACAAATTCAAGACTTTTTATTTGGGTTCATTTTCATTAAGAAAAGAGCCAATTCATGATCATGTCTAAAATCGAACATGAATTGCAGGCGGACACTCCAGAAGATCTTCCGGAACAACTTCTGGGAACGTGTCGACTTAACCATTTAGATGCATCCAAAGCAGTTCATACTCACACCATTAGCTAATATAAGACGACGATGATTGATAGATGTTAGTCTTGCGGGAAGGACTAACATATATGAGAGTGCAAATGTGTTAGTTTGGTGAATATTTTCTCTAATTAATTGATCAATGTGTGAAGTCATAATGTGTTGTCCTAATTAATTATTGCATTCTTCATTGTATAACATCCATTAATAAAAAACCTTTCCCTTCAAGGATTTGTAAACACAAAGTTATGAAGAATGTGGATATATTAGTGACTTAGTTGTCTCACATCCATGAGGAATTCTTTTTTTTTTTTTTTTTGGTTTTTTTTGGCAAACTCCGTGAGGATTTCTTTTCCTTTGTTAATGAAATATTTTTGTGGAATAAGTATGATTAGTGAAAATTTTCACATTTTTCTATGCATCCAAATATTACTCATAAATATTTTATGGAATAAGCATGATTAGTGATATTAATAATAACTAATGAGGGGCATTTGGCATTAATTTGTTGTTGATTCTTGTTTAAATGTAGAATATGATCTGGATTTTAGCTGTATTAAAATGATTCTCTTTTTATCATATGATATTTGTATAGTTTTTTAATCCTTGTACATAATAGTAGTACTTTGGAAGTTCACATTTCCCCGCACAACTTCCATGCTTAAAAGCTAACATACCTACCCTTGGGTATCACTATTTCTTTATTAGATTTAAAATTTTCCTATTTTAAAACATTCATTAGTCCGTGTCCATAAATCTACACTTATCTAAAGGTAACTTTAGCAAAATTTAAAACATGGATAGTTTTACTTCAACTACCAAAATTTTAGAAGTTATACATAAATCTTATTGTTCAAGTAGTTGTCTTAACGTATGTGCACCGAACATTATATTAAGAGCACATTTGGTATCAATATATTTACTTAAATTGGCTGAATTTGCTGAAATTGTTCAATCGGAAATTACATTTTCCGTCAAAATATAGAGCGGGCAATTCATGGTGATGTGTAGTTTTCTCGCACTAATAAAAATGTAGTAATATAGGGTTTAAAGTACGAATATTGTCTCCACATGGACGGAAAAAGGGAATCAAGAATTAAATAAATTCAGCGATTAAAAAATAAAAATAAATACAATTGTGCGAGATTGGATTTTTGGAAATAAACTAATGCAATAAAGCAATTAAACTAGTGGGTTCTTTCTAATTAATGACAGAAGAGAACAAGGATTGATTCCGGGGTAATCATATTTCGGGGCTGATCAGGCTTAATCTCATGAAAATTATTTAATTGAACAACGCTATTCAATACTAAGTTCTAAACCGCTCTCGCAGCATAGAGTACAATAATTTAGGGAATCATGCTGATCTCTCATGCGACATGATCCTAAATTATTGCCAAAACAAGCGAGCGTACGGGCCCTAGCTAATCGTTAATCTCTTAGAGAACGATTAAGTGTGTGTGAAGGTGTCCTAGAATAAATTATATTTATATTAATTTATTTTACATACAATTGTAATTCTAGCGGCCGTTCTAGGTTACAAGAGATATCAATTAAATCATTCATACACAAATTAAATAAAGATTCATGCAATTTAAACCATCAAGAAACTAGCCATATATCATGATTAACCCTTTCATCAATCCCAAATCTCTAACTAAAACTACGTACTCACAACTCATAATTGAAGAATCAACAGAATTGAGATGAAAAGAATTAATTGTCATTAATTAAAAAGATGGAACTTATAAAAAAATCCCACAATCTTGAAGAAAAAGGTTGAAAAAGCTCTCATCGAAATAGGGTTTATCTCTCTAAGCTCCGTAACGTAAAACAAGCAAACCAGGGCCCTTTAAATAGAAAAGTGGAAAAGTGGACGAAAAATGGACCGCATGATCGTCCGCACGGCGTGAGGTTCACCGAGCGGCCGCATGAAAAAAAATGTCCGTCTCGTAAAAAACTCCGCCCACACGGTGTCTAGGCACTCGCACGGTCCGACCGTGCGGGCACACCTGAGGGGTGTTTCTGGACTGTGGCACGTGCGGTGCAGACTTTTTGACTTCTAGCTCTCAGAATCACCCGTGGGCGCGTGCGGAAATGACCGGGGGGGGGGGGGGGGGCACGGATGTCTCTTGAACCATACTCTTGCTCTTTTCTTCCCTGTTTGCTCCCGATCGATCATATTTTCAATCTTTGACCTTTCTAGCCTCGACGCATACCTCTAAATCATCCCGTGGACCTCCGATGCCTCTTGCCATCTCTCGAACACATCCCAAATCTTCTCAACTTAAGCTCAACCGCCGATGCTTGGTCCAAAATCCTTCTTCTCTTCAACGAATGCAAACCAAACCCGGTAAACCGTGACTTGAGCTAAATAAACGCTTTGTGACGCAAATAAATTAGGAAAAGTGACAAAACTCAATCTCAACAAGCATCAAATGCGTGTTGAAATACGAACTTATCACATGGCCAAGATCAGCTTTTATATCTTGAATATTACTACGTATATTAAGAGGTAAAACTACTAATTGTAGATAAATATAGTAGTTAGAGGACTAAATATGTAAGTGTGTCAAGTTGTAGGTCAAAAAAGGAAATATACATAAGTTACAAGACTATATTTACAATTTCCTTGGTCCATGAGTATTGATCCAATTTTCATTGAAATTTATCATATATTCATATTATAGAATAAAACTTGGCCAATTCATAAACAAAGTATTGTTTACTAAAAGTTGTACTACTTACATTCATTAGAAGCAAACTTTTTATACTTCAACCTTTAACACGATAATTCTATTTAAGAAAATTTTATTGACTTATCAACTTTATCTCGTGCAACGCACAGGTGAAAATTCTAGTTATTATTTGAAGTATGTACTCTGTATTATTATTTGTGCTTATGAGTTATGACGATAGTTGGTATTATATAAAGATATTTTCCCATTCATTTTTAACATCAGATATTATTTAAATTTATTTTACTTCTGCATTTATAATTTCATTCACTTCTATTTATAATTATATGTGACTTATATTTAGTAATGGCTATTCTTTGAAATAAACATAAAAAATGTAAAATAGAGCTTATTCAATTGGACTGGAATTTTATGTGTTATTCTAAAGTAATTCAGTATCATCTTTTTATTCATTGTCTGCACTAGCTAGTTTGATTTGATGCTATATATGTGAAGTTCATTTTTTTATATGATACCTTTGTTTTTAAACAGATGTAACATGTTCAATTTTACATTATGCACATATTCTACTTTGATTATATTTTATTCATTAATGTACTGGAAATTTAATTTTCTAAAAATATTGTTAAATTTCCCTCTTTCAATTTTAAGTTTTCAAAATCTAATTTTAATTATTCTGTTTCATGTACTTTTGTTGTATCCCACATTATTTGAATTCTCTTTTCTACAAAAAAAATAGTTGATATGATATTCATATATGAATATTAAATTACCAAAACCGTATTATCGACCTTCTTTTTAAGTTCTTATTATTGTTTCAATTGATGAAAAAATCAAAAAATAAATTCAAACATTAAGAAAACTTGATAATCTTACTATACCATAAAAGACAATCCAATTGGGAATTCTTATAACTGGTTTAAAAATAAATTATTCATTCATAATGTTTTTTGTTTTGCAAAATAAAACTATTTATTCATAATTTAATTACTATAGAAGTATTATATATCATAATTATTGAATATTTTCCATAATAAATAAAATAATAAATTCACATAATAACATAACAAGACGCATTAAATAGATCAAAAAAGAATTAGACTGAATCACAACATATCAATATTTATTCTATAGATACAATTTAATAATATATGCGTATATATATTGGATCAAGTGAGAAAGCGATCTAAGGAGAGAAATTAGAATGATTCTGGAGCCATAGATTTGGAAATTGAGCATTATTTGAAACAGAAATGTGTACTATAATAAAAAAACATGATGACACTTTTGTAACTCAATTCACCATTTTTCTACTCATTTCAAGTGTGTATTACTCTAATCATAAATGTGCATCTTTATGAATCATAATGTGCACCGATTTGGTCCGTTCTCGTTTAATATCTCACGATAAAAAGTGTTTGATCTCACTGAAGAGACAATTTTGTAAATAAGTGAACATCTATGCCACTGCGAAAAAAATGCAGTATTTGAACTTAAAAGTATAGTGTAATATAGTAGAGGTGAAAATTTCGCATTTTCACGTAAAAATGAAGTATTTGAACCTAAATGTACATGTAATTTTTGAGCAAAAAATAAAGAAAAGTATGATATCACCTTTTCAAATTTCTAGTTTTATAGTTCGTTATATATAAATGATTTCAGAAAAAGTTATATTTATTAATTTGATTTCATTTGTTTATTCAGGGATTAACAATTATAAATTCCTGGTAATATGAGTTTTTTTATTAATTTTATGCTGACATTGATGACATTTTTATTAATTCCTGAGATTTTGAATTTTTGATTAATTTTATGTAACTTAACCTAAATTGCATTCAAGGCTACTAAACTGAGCATGTTTAGTAAAACTGAAATTGATTGAATTAAATAATTATGCTGACATTGATGACATTTTGGCCGAGTCAATTGAATTGACGAATCCAATTAATTATGAAAAGAAATTAAAATATACGAAGTATTTTATTAATAAAATAAATAGAAAATTATATAAAAAACATGTAAAAATGATAGCCTATTCAACCAACTCAGCTAAAAATGTAAAATGAACCTAACTTATTTTAATTATACACCATTTAACGCACAAATTTAAGAATTACATGTTTTATAAAGATGGTTCGATAACAAGACTAATAAATTTAAAACATGAGTTATCAAAAGGGGCCTAAATTTGATGGTGTTGGTAAGAAGTGTGGTTTCACCCAATAAATATTTCTTTTAAGGCATCTCAGATGCTATATTATTGCGGTGCATATGTGGCATGAAAGAAACAAATACTAAAGAATACATTCATTACATTTCTTTCTCATTTTTTCCATAATCTTATTAGTTTTTGGTAAGTTTTTCTTAAAAATATCAACCATTATGTCTACATCTAGATATTATGTTTTTGACATTATTGTGAATAGGCATGGACCCGGGCCGGGCCGGTTCCGGTTCCGGGCCGGGCCCGGCCGGGCTTTTTTTTTTTGGGAAGGAAGGCCCGGGACCGGCCCGGGTAGCCACCGGGTCCGGTCCGGGTCCGGGCCGGGCCGGGTCTCCGGTTCGGTCATAATTTTTTTTTTTTTTT